ATAGATGTCGTTTACACACTGATGATGAGACAAACCTAGTCTCGAACGTTTGTGAAAATTATTATTTAATAAATAGTGCAAAAAAGAGAGTTGTTTGTTCATATTTCCAAATTAATATCTATTTATCCACTCATAATACATTTGTTATATATATATATATATATATATATATATATTATATATATATTTAATTTAAATAAATATATATTTTAATAATAATAATTAGGACATGTAATTAGAAGGATATATCAGTGGATAGTTATCCTTCTCACGCCATTTTCCATAATTGTCAAAAATTTTAGCCTAATGTACATTGTATGTAGATTGCTATGATAAATAAACAAAAAAAATATATTTTTTACACTGATCACCTTAAACTTCATCTTTGTGATGCATGTCAAAATAATAGAAATATCAGCCTCTATGGATTCGGAACTTCTGGGAATATAAATTATACAAATGTGCAAAGTTTAAACTACTCAGAATGTGATTGGCAATGACCGCGACGAAAGTACTCTTCAAAAGGCCAAAAATTAAAATGTAGTGCAAATAGAAGTCGTTCGAAGGTTTGTTATTGCCATCTAAGAGTGAGGCTATAAATCCTGATTAGCGTTTCGCGTTTTAGCGATTAGCATTCCGCGGAGTGATTAACGCAAAGCATTCCGCGTGGTGTAAATATCGGTGCTGGTCCGGTCATCACAGAGATATTTAGGAGATTTCTAAAATCGTTGGCAAACTGTCTTTGAGAACAAAATTTGTCACTCAATTGTATGTGACAACGTGAGAGGAATCAATATTCCAATACATTTAACTGTCTTTATAAACTGAATATAATCATTGGGAATTATATCAATAAAAGTTGTATTGTCCATGCGCTAAAATATTACTATCGTAGTGCTAAGCAAGCCAGCTTGCCTTGCAAAATTTTAATTTATTTTTCATTTTGTTTAAGATCTAATATTCCGATATTAGATATTATTTTAAAATTATAATGTTTTTTTTTCAAATTAAAAAAGATTTCAATATTACTATATTCTTCATCAACACTTATCTGAATTTTCAAAAAAAACTTATTAAACAAGATTATCATTTACTGCTTAATTCTCATTAAAAGCTCGTTTTTATCCGGGCCTAACTAATTAATAGTCATTAGAGAGCATTACTTGCATAACTGTAAGTTTGGATGTGCTTTCAAGAAACTAATAAATGATTTTCCGAAATTAAGTTTCACTGACAGTCTACAAGAAATAACAAACTCGTAATATTTATAACTAAGTAGAAAGTAATTAGTTATGGTTATCGAAACTTCTTACTTTATGTTACACAAAAAATCGTAGTATCTTAACAACGTTGATAATATGTGAGTACCAAAAATTGACTGCAAATTACTCCAAGTTATTTATAAATAAACGATTTAGAATCTCCCCTCCCCCAATTCAAACTACCCCATTTTCAAAATCCGTTAAAATAAATTTGTCATAGAATCTTTTTCGCAAAACTTGAAAAAACTGAAATTCCTATGAAGCTTATGTTGTAAGACAACATAGAAGCTCTAGGAATTTTTATTCTAAGTAATTTATTTTGAAATCTGACCAACCTCAACTCCTGACCTCTCTTCTCTGCGGGATCATGGCTGGTTCCAAATGAAAGTGAATAATGATATATGTCAATAATCCAATGCATCAAAGCCAAGATACTATCTGAAATAGTAAAATAAAATAATATATATATATATATATATATATATATATATATAATATACATAGCAAGCAACCTTTATATCATAACGACAATATCGAAACTAAATAGTTCATGAATCACATTAATATCATTTTTGAAGACCTTATACTCAAATATACAGCAGAAGGAATAAGTCTTAATTAACCGAACTATTGCTTTCATTTTTATTAAATAGTATGCTGTTTTGTAAATAATCATTACCATGCTGTGATCTGAATGCAACTGATTTTTGAATCTGATTCAATTTGAATAATGAATTCGTAATTGCAATTGACCCAATGGCAATTTATTTGTTCAAAATATTTTATTGTAACATGATCAACATACTCAAATTGTTACATGATACTTGTAAAATATACGTATTTGGGTAAAGGAAACTCAAAACTAAGTTAAAATTGTTAAAAAAAATTATTTCTACGCTAAGCAAGATTAGGCCTACAAGTAAACTAAGTTCTAGTCTTATAAATTTTTTTCCATTAACGAATCTAATTTTCGCATTATAGAAACAGTTTAACAAACTCAAATGATCGATTGACTCCGATATAATGTTCTCGAAACCTTTTGATTGACAAATCACGATTATTCGATTATACGATAACGAACGATAGCTGTTATATATACAGACATGTAGGTAATAGATATTTGACATTTAATTCAGAATTTTGCGGTATGAGATTTCTTTAATTATATATTATAGATAGAAATAAAATTCCAAGTAAAATTTTCACCCCGGTATTACTAAACTTAACAGAAATATACCAATGGTATTGCAGTAATAATTTCAGCTAAAGATAATATTGTTTGAGGCAATTCTAAATATTTCAAAATTTTATTCAGAAATATAAAATATTTTATATAGATAGAAGCTAACCGTTAAAGAGTAAAGTGGGCATTGATAAATCCATGTTAATTAATTGCATTAATTAATTTTATCATTCATTATTAATATTCCTAAATGACTGCTCACTGTTGCATAACATTAGAGCTTATTTATGATCTTTTATAAATAGGAGGCGCCAGGCAAATATATTATGGAGAAAGAACAAAAAGTGCGCATGGCAAGTGGTGCTAAAATAACACGAGCTCCTTAAAGCGATTTCATCTTCTCAAAGCGAAACATTAAAAAAATGATCAAAATAAGATTACAACGACACTTGGAACTATAATTTACATGTTTGTTTCAGAGATCGAGAAATAAATTGAGGTGCCTAAGTCTACTCACTATCACCTAAAAACTGTTGTTGTTCGCAGTTTAAATAGTCATCGATCAGATGCTTATAAATTATTGTAAAGTACATTTAACTTTTTGCAAAAAATCATAAAACATACTCATAAAATATCCCTAGCAAACTGAACAAAGAGACCAATAGGTTTAAAACAAATGATGTCACGAAACCATGGGGTTTCTTCGATCTGAAGACTAAATTTATGATGTTTCTGATTGTCATTACAAATCAATTTTAATTACGTGCCTTGTTATTTATGACTAATCCTGTGGCCTCCTTTACGATGTACCTGAGGAAGGATCAAAAATATTATGTCGAACAGATAAAATCTGTTTATTCAGAGGCATCCATAAAAAACTTAATAGGCTTAAAGTAAGATCGAAAAAACCATATTAAACTTTATGTTGTTTCAAATATATTGCATTCTAATAAGACAATAAAAAGTAACTTCAATATATCAATTATTTGAAGATTTAAATGAAAATGTAATTATTCGAAATTAATCATGTTCATTTTTTAAAATAAAGATAATCAATAATTCGTACATTAGACGGTACCAGTTTTGCCAACAATCTATTGTTTAGAGATTTTAAAATTCCATTTACTTGAAATACAAAAGAGCTGTAATTAAAAAGTTGTAAACCTTCTTATAACATGAATTTGCATTAAAGCATGAGAATAATCAAAAAATCCTTTTAAAAAAATCATGTATCCTTTCTATCCTTTTGCCATAACGATGGCAACAATAAATTTTTAAATGGCGCCATAAATTCATATTTAATTTTTATGACTTTTTAAGTATATTTTTTAGCTTTGGCATTGAAACGAATTCACAAACAGCAGGAGGGCTGCAGGGATTAGATTTATATATGTTATCTTGGTCATCTTTGAGAAGCTAGTATCTGCCAAAACAAAATATATAAATTATTAAAATTAATGCAAGGTATAAAACTTAGAACAATACGTACTTTATAGCATAACAGAAATCAAACTTCTATATTAAAAAATATTAAATTGATAGTTAACTTGATAAC